CAGGTTTTACTAGAAAATGCAGTTTACAAATATGAAATGCCACTTTGTATCATACAGTAATTGCCTGACACCAGTTATGTACTAAGCAACTTAACAGTTAGATAAACTTAAATAATCTCGGACTAAATGAAAATATCTCTATGAATTGTTTCTTTCTGGAGGTCAGAAGATACATATAGTTCAGCCTGCACCGGAACATCCAATAATCTAATTTCTATTTTCTAAAGGTAAGGGCAAAATTTGCATTACTCTACCAAATCTTAGGACTGTTTTATGTCAGATGAAATAAAACATTCGCTAAAGTCACAATAAATTTTAGTGAGACAAACAAGAAAAGCTAGAGCGAGACTAAGGGTTATAACAACAAACACTCTGAAATGTTCAGATTAGTATAAATTGAAAGATTTCAGGAAAACAAGTGGCAGGTGTTTGAGGGCAGGGAAGAAGGGACAGGAGTCTTTCTAACTGGCAGAGAGATTGTGTTTTAAAGCTGAACAAGCTTTGTGACATAGGGCTTGAAACCTGACTGTAGCTTACGAATAATCCCACACCAGTAGGAAAAGGAAGGTAGTGAGCCAAGAAATCAGTTTTGACAATAACTCTGTAGTTGATTTGATTTTCTAGGGCTTGGCAAGTCACTTAAGAAACAAAAAATGTTATCAAAACATAAAACCAGTTCTTTAAAAGTTTACTTGTATTAATAGTTACTATTATTACTCAGTTTCAGCTTTTTAACCATTTTTGCCACTGCTGTTTTCCATTATGCCATGTCTGTATGTTTATTACAGCTCCCTTTCCCCAACACCTCTTGTGCACACACAGCCACTCATTCAAAACCATAAGCCTATCCAAAGATGCTTGACAGTGTGCACCTGAGAGCCAGGTGAGAGAAAACATCTGCTACAGTCAACTCGGTTTCACAGCCGCAATAATCTTTCATGTCACCTCAAAATAAAAGGCCAAATATTTAAGTTTCTAAAAAAATAACAGAACAGAGTTACCTGTGTCCTGTTATTCATGCACCACACACATACTGCTGAAAGAAAAGCTTATTTCTCCCATCCTCTGATTATATTTCATTAAAACTAAACATAGTCTGTTTGAATTCAACTATAGGTCTGCAGATTATGCATGAGAACTCTAAATTTATTCCATGTACCTTTTTTGGCACTTTCACTCACCAAGTAGACATGCAGCAATCACACTTTATAAATAATTAATAGTACTGATTTGGTTCTTCTGCATATTTTCAAAGTCAATGCACCAAAATGTATTACCATCAGAGTTATGACTTCTCACAATAGCACAGGAGACACAAAAACCTCCTACACTCAAGATTAACAAAATTGCTTCCAGTTCTTAAAAAAAAAAAGTTATCTACCTTTAGAATCCTTATCAGGATCTCCCAAAATAATTTCACCAAGGCCCTGATGAGGTATTTTATTTTATAAGATTTCATAATAAAGCTTAACAAACAGTGTATTGAACAACAAGCTTAAATGTGCAGACATCTATTGAAGAACTGATCACAGACACACCAGTGCCAATACAGACAGTGTGGCTTGATGGTAACCAGGGGAGGGGATAGAAAAGACATAAAAGACAGTCATTGGTTACAGAGGCATAGTTATTACTTAATGCACTCTGCTTTCAAGATGAATCTTTAAATTGAATGAATCTAAATAACAGAGGGTTCTAAAGAATAAGAAATTGGGTTTGAAACAGCATTGTGAAGGTATCCAGCAGCACCATAACAAAGTCGTTTCTTTAGGGGCCAGTTGTAGCTTCAAAGGAAAGATTTGCCTAGGGCAGAAACTCAGCACAGAATCTGCAACCTTGATTTTTAATTAGGCAAATTTTGAAAGCAAAACTCTTCCCTATTCCAAAAGAAGTTTTCTGCTTTAAGGTACATGAACTGATAAAATAATTGATCATTCCTGGTTGGTGATAACAGTAGCTACAATATTTAGGTATTGGTTTGTTTTCAATGCCGTACCCTTTGGTAACACGAACAAGAGCTTTGCAGCTCAGACAACAGCACCTCAGATTCCACAATGTTTGAAGGACAAAAGCCACCTTTACAATTAGATTGAACCTCTACTTTCAGAAACCTACTCACAGGCAGCCTCTTCACATAATAAGCATATAGAAATACCTGCAAACACCACCTCATTAACTTTTGACACCATGAAGTGAGCAAACAGAGCAACAGCAGAATGCAAGAAAGCTGGTTTCCTCGAGCAAAGTGTGGGTCCTCTTTGGTCTGCTGAAATAGTTGGATTTATACCACTGCCTTTGCATGAGAGCAGACACAGAAGGATGGGAGGCAAGGCACAGATATGGCCATTCTTCTCTGAATTTTTATAATAATTTAAGACATTTAGTAATTCCAAAATCCCTAACACTCTCAGATTCAACAGAAAAGGACCAACACAAGAAAAATTATTAAGGTGACAAGGAAGGTGAAAGGGCACACAGGCAAAGAATGACTGCACCCTGGGAATAAACTAGGCTGAAATTAAGTATCTAATTATTCTGCCTAGTCTAAATAGCCTGAAAAACCCAGAGATTCAGGTAGCAACAAGCATTCAGTCTGTGAAAATGAAGCCAATTCAAAACACTTCAAGAGGCTTCAAAAGAAGAACAAAGAGCAACATTACTCTAAAGGAAGGCACCAAACCTTTCAGCATCTGAAGGAAGGAAGGCTAACAGCTGGTTTTCTCGAGGCACCACTGTAGCAGGCAGACACCACTCTGGGCTTCAGAAGTGGGAGAACAAGTCTGCAAACCAACCACCACCAGTCAGTGTGTTTAAGCCAGTCTTGCCCAGTATTAGGCAAGACACCAGTGACCATGCCAGGGGATCTTTACTATCCACACCCCCATTTTCTGCTGAAACCAGGGCTAGAACAGAAGAGCATTTTTGAGCAAAACTGTGAAATGCTGAATCAGTTACAGCCTTGTGTCCAAAAGCATGGCAACTTCTATTCTGGCTCTGAAAATCAAAATCTGTTTTCATGAAGAAGCACACTATGTCATCTACTTGGCTCCAGAGAGGATACTTACACGTTCATTTGGATTTCTCCATGATGTGAGTTTTAGGGCATATGTGAGCAGAGAAGGAGGCAAGTAACAGCAGTGGTGAGGAAGGAAGTGAGATGGTGCTTTAAACCAGAAGCATGAGCATCATCTCCAGCACACAAAAACATGTGCATGCTTTTGCTTCATATTCACATGCATTTTGTGTATGCCAAAAATAGAACATGCTCTGAAGATTTGGGCTTAGAACAGTTTTTCATTTGCCTCACAACTTTACAAATGCTTAGAAACATGTGAAAAAAAGGCAGTATACTCAGAATAAGACTAAGCAGTTGACAAGGAGAATCTATAAGTAGGAACACAGAGTACAAAGGCACCTGAAGGAATACAGTTCCCTTTTCCACACAATAACTAAACATGAACTCTGAGCCTTATGATATTGTTTACACACGAGCATACCAGCTGTATACACAGGCCTGTTACTCCCTGCACACATCTCCAACACTAAGATCTTGTACTTTTGTCATCATTAGAACCCTGAATTCTTCCCAATTCTGCTTCAAAGATCCAGACATGTTCAGCTCACACCTGGGACACTTACTGAAACTCTGCTCAGAGACATCTAAGGAGATCTGGTATCACCAAGGAAACCAAAAGCTTCATTCTGATCAAGCATCTTCTCCAGTAGCTGTTCATTATTCTTAAACAAGAATGGAGATACTGAAAATATCTTTCTTGATTCATTTCCAACACTTCTGCAGGCTCACATTGTCAGACTAATTCACAATATCCATGCCTACTGCATCCATTTAGTGGCTACCAATTTAGTTAGTGCCCATTAATGCAACAGCTAGGTGTTCCTTCCAACCTGTCTCACTGAGATGTATACAGAGTGGACTACAGGCTACATTCTGTACTTATAGCTGACAAAAGAAGACAAAATGAATATGAAGTAAAGCTGAGAAAACATTCTGTGCTGTAAAAACAACCGTAATACCTAATGTATATAGCCCTCTGAGGAGAAGTTAGCAACTTCTGCACACAGTTACAACAAAACAAGCAAAGAAAAAAAAATCAGTCCCAATAGTTAGGTTCAGTCTAACAAAATAAAGAAACCAAGATATACAGACCTTAAGAGGTGAGCTACAAGTTTTCTGATGAACATAACAAATGCATAAATTGACCATGCATCAGTACCCTCAGGCACATACCAGGGATCACATCAGGAACTATCAAAAGGCAAAAGGGAATTGCCATGGCAAAAAGGAAACAATCCTTTACAGTCTGCATTAACCATTGTCACATTGCTGAATAATACATCATCTTAAAAGTATTTGGTAAGGTGATAACTAATCAGCATTATCAAAACAATTCAGCAATTCTTCTGGTCTCTTAATTAGGCTTACAAAAAATCTGTATGGTCCTTTAGGTTTACAGAGGGGTATTATCCCAGGATTTTGGAAGACATTATTTGCATGACTTAAAAATAAGCTTCGCTTCATTGCTGAATCTCTATCTTGGCATGAGATTTCGATTCCCAATTCTTGGGGAAGGACAACAATCATGTGTGTCCCCCATCCCCATTTCAAGTAAGAGTTCAAAAGCAGGATTTTCTACCTTTCTGTATTTCAAGTATCCACCAGACTGTTCAGCTGAAAACACATCAGCTCGTCCTTACCCCAGTACTGTAACCATGACTTCATTTTTTAAAAACAGGCCTCATTCCACTGAATGCCACCAAACATGTACCTTATCCTTTAGCTCAAATACATTTTGCATGACCTTACATGAATTGCTTAGATAAAAGCTTTTTTTCTTCTACTTTTGTTATTTTAAAGTGCAGATGCATTTGAGTCATTTTCCCCTTTTGTTTCATATCCTTAAGATCCGCAGCTTCAAAGACAAAATGTCAGCATGCAGTCGATTTATGACTGAATTCTTGAAGGGACACTGAAGAATTACCTTGTCAATCACCCCAAGGACTCTGAAGGTCTTCAGTTCCTCGGCAGGGCTCCTTAGGTTCCAAGAGGGCCTTGAACTTAGTGATCCTGGAGGCTAATGGAAGATATCAAAGATTATACATCAATCAGGGTGGTACTTGAAGGAAGACTGCCTGCTGAAGCAAATGCCAAGCCGAAGGAAACTAAATTTATCATAAATCAGAGAGAGTGAAGATGAAAGGAGAAGTTTTCTGTTTGTCCTTAGTGGGGGGGAAAAAAAACAACTTGCAAGTAAACAGAAGTCAAGATAACACTGAAAATAAAAATTTTTAAAAAGAAAATAAAATAATTAATTTTTATATTTTCTAGGCTTAATGGAACCTGGTAATTGATTACTCAGTTCTTACCACATCACAACAATCAATCAAAGCCTTACAGGTATTCTGGGTACAAAATAATTCAGAGATAACTGAGGAGGAGAAAGCAAATTAGAGGCTTTTTAAGTCTGAAGAACATAAAATACAGAATTATAAACAGGGTTCTCTTGCTCTCTGGTGAGCTTTATGAAATCCTTTTAATAATAAGGTGCATAACAGAAATAATTCCTAAAACTACCTTAGAAAAAGGTAGCTAGCTCTATATCATTAATCTAGAAATTAACACCACAGCAAGAAAATTGGCAGGTGATAACTATTTAACTAGTTAATATGCTAATAGGCATAGATTTTTGTCCATGCTATGTTTTGTAGTTTCTCTGGGCAAACTCAAAGCTTGCATGTCCAAGTAGGGAACGTTTGAACTGGAAGTCTTCTGGGACTTCTGGGACAAAGATCAACCTCTTAAGCATCCCGAATACCTCTGGCATGTTAACAAACATTTTCATAAGTTTCTAGCTGCCAGCTGAGAGAATTCATTAGATCTACCTCCAAAACTTCAACACACAGCTTCTACTGGAAGCACAGACCCATATCTCTTCCTCACAAATAAGGCAACTTCATTAACAAAGGAGCTGAATGGCAAACTCTTTTTAAGCATGACCTGGCCTCCCCAGGTACATTTCTAACACACAAAGGTGCAAAGGAGAAGAAGGTGAAACTCCTTGATTTCAAGGCTTCTAAGAGGTAAAAGCTGTTTATCTAATTTGTCAGCATCCTGAGGCAATTTTTAACAATTATGTCACAAAGGAAAATGGCTGGTAAGCAACTATGCCATGGGTGCAATGTTTCACTACCAATATCCTGAACTAGGCAGTACCATTTACTTCCCCTCTAGTTTTGCCTCTCTGACATCTTTACTGTGCTATCCTCAAACACCAAAGCAACTCTCAAATCCTTCCCCTCTTGGACCCCTTCATGCTGCCAGTCAAGAACCTTCTCTCCTTCCAAATTCCCTCCTAAAAATCAGAACTTAAATACATATAGCCCACAAAATCAAAAAAAGGTCACAAACACGTTCAAAGAGCATGAAGAAGCATGTGCTTTTCTGGGCTCGAGGTTTAAAAGTTTACTATTTATCTTCACTTATTTGTCTGGATCTTGTAATCATTTTGTCATGTAAACACTGCCAAGCAGAAGTACTAACAGTAGTTAAGAGAAAACAGTCCAGATTCCACAATCTAAAAGAAAAAGAAACAAAAAAAAGCTCCACACGAACTTTTTTTCTCCAAACCTAATTTAGGTTCCACATTCTAGCAAGCGTGTTGAGAACCTGCAATTTTTCTGCAATAACTAAATACTTCCTTTGAAACAAAGAGATGTGCTAATGCAGAGTTTATTCATTACAAGATTCCAAAAGCATTCTAGGAATACATTTTATGGAAGAGAATACTTCCAAATCCTCTACACTGCTATGAAAGACTTCCACTTCTATCTGTTTGCATTTTACAACCATTCCTTAATTTCTAAAATTTCCTCTGATGCATAACATTTCAACCAAGAATTAAGTTCATACATCTCTACAGAAGTTAATAGCTGTCTAATAATTCTATACAACCAGATTTATGTCCCCATCATGTCTGAAGAGCCCCAAAAACCCAGTGTATATATATTTCAGGTATTTCTCTAAAATATGACCAATGGTAGCACAGTCAGTGATACTGTGTACACACACTGGTTTTCATATATGCACCCTACAGTCTCCTTACCTTAAAATGATCTACAATCACATCCACATCTCCACAGCTCCCAGCAGCTTCTCCATTCTTATCAGTTTCAGGTTATTTTTTGCTCTTTACAATACTTTGGTTTCACTGTTGCAAAGCCTAATAGTAAAGCCTAGTGATGGGGAGGCATCACATTCTGTTGTGAAGCAAGCCGGAAGCAAACTCTAAATACCCAATTCCCACAACTACAGCAATTAAGCACTCCATGTAACAGCCTACTCCTCTGAATAGAGTAAAAATCCAAGTTTATCACCAAGGCAGCAGTAAGAAAAATAACTAAAAAACACTGCTCTTAATAAAAACAGAGAAAAAAACCAAAACTACAGGAAGGAGGGTGACAAAAAGAACAAAAGCTTCATTTGCCTTTAGAAATGAAGCATTTATATTCTAAAGAAAGTGGCAGGGTACCTCTGCCTGCAGAAGGCCTTTAGCAGCTTGTCCAAATGTTCAGCATGCTGCTAAGGTATCCCACAATCTTCTTTCCTGGGGCCCTGTATTTCCAGACTACACTCTGAGCTGCACTGCTGGATTTATCTGAGTTAAGATTTGCATTACCAGTTCTTTTCCCACTACACCTTTTGGCTAGTATGTGCTAATTTCAAGTGCAAAGGATGCTGCTGATTGAGATGTTGGCCTCTGCAAAAACTCAGCAGCTTGTGGCCACCACTTGCCTTTGGAAAGCTCTAGTTTTGCAACATACACAAGGAAATATTGCAATAGCTCTTCCCTCGACTTTGTCATCACTACCTGCAGTTGTAAGAGCAGAGGGAGAAAGAGAAGTACACCAACAGTCAGGCAAAAGGAAGGGCCTCTCATATCAACCTCATTTAAGGCAAGAGCACTATCCCTAGATTAGTGGCACAAACACCATTTGAATGGAAATTATTTAACTGCTAATGGTACCACCTTTGACAGTAGGATCCACAGATCTCAGGGTAATATGAGAACTTTTATGACCACCAGGGCAGAGCCACACATCAAAATGGGATCTCCATTTGCTGTTCAAAGGTCTGAGACTGATGACTTCAGTAACAATCCACCTGTAGCAAAGCCGGATCTTCAGCTGCAGCAAGGAGATGCCTTGTTCTGAGGCAGATATGCTGGCCTGCAGTGTGAGGCTCCATGCCATGAGCGTGAAAGGGCTCCCAGCTCTCCTGGTCTGGCAGAAGATCCTGGCCCTTCCTCACTCTGCATCAGGAGATAACCAGGTTGCATTTCTGCCTGCATCTGAACCAGACAGAACTATAGTGTGCTCAGAAGGCTCCCAGTGATCACTAACTGGGAAATGTAACTTCCTTGAAGCTGGGACATGCCTTGGATGTAATCTTGGAAGCCTGGAGACAGAATTTCTTATTTTATGCTAAATTTGTATCTCAGAACTATGGCAGTGTATTTTCGTTATACTTTATGCAATTTTCATGCAAATTCAATGAGAATTTTAGGAAGGTATCTTAGGAAAACCACAAAGAACGAAGTCTGCTTCTTCTGTTTGGACATCAAGTTTGCATGTACCTCTTGTTGCTAAATTGCTTTGAAAATCAAAATTAATTGACATTTTAAAAGACAACAGCATTCATAATGGTGCAAAAAGAAACAACTCAGAATATAAGAAATTAGGCATAAGTAGAATCTGAGCTAATTTCAGAGAGAGGAAAAATATGCTTTATAAAACTACCAGAAAAGTTAAAATGGACCCACAGCCTGCACAGGTAGCTGTGCTGGGCTTTGCAGCTGATAACTATGCAAGACTGCACTTTCTGATGGTCAGTCCAAGCGTGATTCAGAGGCTGTTGCTGCAGTTCCCACTCAGGCTTGGAGGTGGCTCCCCAGAGATGCTACTTACTTGGAGAGGAAGAGGAGAAAATGCAGCCTGAGAATCTGCAAAATGGCCCAATGCTGTCATTACACAGCACTCCAGAGCAGATGACTAGAAGTTTGCGAATGTCACACCAATCCACAAAAAG